CATCATGTAAGACGCGTAGCGAATACGTATATTTTTAAGATCCGCAGAAAAAAGGGCGTTTTAAATTACGTATTGTCCACGCTTTTCTTTAACATTATGTCTTATTTGTACTTTTTTTCCTGTTGATTACTTACAAAATGAAAGGATATATTTTTTTCGTAACTAATTGGTTTGCAAAATGGGAGATTTTTTCGTTTATTTTTGGGAGATAGGTGATTTTTAATCACCAAATTTATTCATTGCGAAATTATCACGAAATTAATTAGTAGACAGACAACAAAAAGAATATAATGCAAATACATACAAGAGGAATATCGATATACAACAAGAAATATGAACAGAACAGAAGTTCAATTTGATTTCTTTTAGTTTCTTTTGACTGATCCCCTTGGATCATAATGGTTTTATCAACTTGTTTTATAATTATAGAGTACTATGGGGAAAAAGGAGACATCTCTTCAATTTTTTGTCGAATTTTTATTTGTTCTCAGTTATTTTTGGTCGGAAAGATCTGCTGTTGAACTTGGTGATCGAGCGAACATTTTTCTACATGTTAATGTAAAAATCTTTTAAAAATCTCTGATCGATTTCAAACCAGATGCAAAATGCGGAGAGTCCCATGAAGGTGTCTCTTTTTCCTCCACTCGGAGCTGGAAGAGACACTCCACTAGTCTACACGGAAGAAAACGGCACTCCATTCAGATACATGGAGTTTTAATTAATAATTGATTGCTAAGTAACCTTTAGATATAATTAGTTGAAAAATACCTGATTTTGTAGCCCAAATCTTCCTTTCTCTACCATATGCTGCTGAGCTCATTATTGTTGGAACTCATTAAGCTAATTATCACAATCAGATGCACTCGACATTGTCTTTTTTTTCTTTTTGTACATTGGGGGAAAATGAAACTAATAAACTTTATTTATTTTCAAACGTTTTGATTAATTCTCATCAGTTAACACACAATTAATTAAATTAAATTAAAATACACAAATTGAATAAAATTTCCTTTTTTTAATAACACATAGGAACTTCTGACATACTAGTAGATGACAAAAACTGTATCATGACAGAGCTTCCCCCAAACATATCCTCAAACTTGGTCAGTTTGTAGAGAACACCTTCGATGGTATGTCTATGCAATAAAACAAAATTTGGTCAAGGATTGACAGTGTTACTAATTAATTAAGTTTAGATTCTAATTAAAATTTGAACTGCTGGCATCTCTTTTCGAGAACTTGCAGTTCGATCAAAAATGATCGTAGAAGCGCCATTCTTACATAGTTTGAGAGACAATGATCTATGATCATAGTTTTATAAAACAAAATTTTATGAAATTATGATCATACACTTACACTTTTATTTGTAAATTCCCGCTTTGTTGGAGATCATGAAGGAATATATCATTTGATAGAAATTTTCAAATGCTACAAAACCCTGTACCTGCTTTCCCAAAAGGTTACTAATTAGCAGTTATTTGGCCCATTTTGAGAAATATTGGATTCCTAAGTGATTTATTCCTGTGTGCTGAGAAATACCATTTTTCAAATAACTTTTGACTAACAATAGCTAGAGAGTTGCAATTTTCGGCATTTGATAGCCAAGACATCGCCACATCTTTATGTAATACACCCGCTTTCTAAAACTTCTTTAAAAACCGATTTTCGAGGAGATTGTTGGGAAACTGAGCTACAACTCTGAAATTCGCTGCATAAATAGATTAATCTTTTCTCATAGTTACATAATTCAAGATGTTTCCTACAGAATGAACGCCAAGCGAGACCTTGGTTTCCAGCGAATTTCAGAGTTATGGCTCGGTTTTCCAGCAATCGCCTGGAAACCGGTTTTTAAAGACATTTTGAAAAGCTGGTGCGTTACATAAAGATGCAGCGATGTCTTGGCTATCTAACGCTTGATCGAACTGCAAGTTCTCGAAAAGAGATGCCAGCAGTTCAAATTTTAATTAGAATTTAAACTTAATTAATTAGTAACACTGTCAATCCTTGACCAAATTTTGTTTTATTCCACAGTATACCATTCATTGAAGGTGTTCTCTACAAACTGACCAAGTTTGAGGGTATGTTGGTGGGAGGACACCCCCCTCCTTAAACTTCTGTTCTGTTCATAGTTCTTGTTGTATATGGATATTCCGCTTGTACGTATTTTCATTATATTCTTTTTTGTTGTCTGTCTACTAACTAATTTGGTGATCAAAACACATTTTTTCGACTTTTGGCTTGAAAAATGGGAAACTGGAAAATAGATAAAAAGATAATTAGCTTGCAAACTGGGGAAGGAGGAGGAGAAAGTAAAAATGACTTCAAATATACAACAAACTCGTAAAAGCGGCTTTCAAACAGATAAAGAACAACATAATAGCCTTTTCGTTTTTAGTAAAAAACAGATACTTTTTCGTTGTGGGGCTTCGAAAAAAATCAAGTTATTTGTCATTATTTTCAATGCAGCTCAGAAGCTACAGCATTCAAGCAGTGGGCAGTATCTTTTTTCCTTTCCTGATAGCCATTTAGACACTTCAGCTACACCTTATCAAGAGTTTTTTCTAACCAATTTATCTCAAAAATGAAATTCTTGTTGTTTAAAGTTAGTAGACTCAAATTCTAATTGAATATGACAATTTTCTTTTTTGAAGCATCAGAGGTGTATCAGTCGTTGTTTGTTTTATGTTACAAAAGCTAGGTACAATGGTTATTCGATTAGGCCTTTCAAAAGGGATTGTAAGAATATTCGAAAGTAAGCCAGTATATTCTACTACTCTTAGTGGCAAAATCCAATTTAGCATTTAAAATAAACTAGATCTTCAAGTTTTGGAGTAGTTTAGATCACCTTATAAACGTTTAATCGTCCACGAGAAGAATCCAAAATAGGTTATTTCACCTAATACAGGTCTTGGAATTTTAATCTGAAAATATACTTTGCCACTACACTCCGCTTTGTTTATAACCTTGTAATTTCATTTATGTCGAAGGACATCAGGCGTAGGCCTGCAAAAGTTCACGTTCGCGTTCCTTGAATGTGAACGCTAAATACGTTAAAGCACTGGTGGCGTGCGGTTTTTTTATACGAACGGTGTTCATATCGTTCGAAATAAATATAAACTTCTGTTCTTGTACAGTAGTAAGAACATATATATTTCTGCTTGATCTTATCTGATCAACAGAAACTCTAGTGAAGGATCAGATGGTCTGCTCAGGGCAGTGACCAGATTATTGCAAAAAGGATACCCCTTGATTCTCTGATCAAGACACTGATCCTTCCAAGAACATATCGCGGATTTCCTGACCAGAAGACTAGTTTTTGCGGCGCTGGAACCGAAGTTCCTTGATAAAAAAAACATTACAGTAACCACATACGTTTTCTTTTGTTATCCTAACCCATTTGGGACAAACGAGCGTTGATTTTTCACTAAATATAACTCATAATGGAGAAAGCTGTTTCACTTGGTATACTACTAGGTGAAATTGCTATATAACGTTTTGCAATACTATTTATTCCACACAAGATCAACACCGTTCATATAAAATAACGTTAACGTTCACCAGAACATTCGTGTTCACGTTCAAAAAACGTCATGTTTAGCGTTCACGTTCAAGGAACGCCAACGTACTTTAGCGTTACGTTCAAAGAGAACGCTGAACTTTTATAGGCCTAATCAGGCGTAGTGCAAAACAACGAAGTACAGGTGTCTCAGAATGTCTCAGAAAAATCTCTGCCATCCAAGCTACTATCTTTGAGACATCTGTATCCATCATGTTACATATAAAATTTCATGTCAACTTTATCATCAGACAATCTCATATTTTTCTACCTATCAAGTACATCATCTGAACAGCTGAGATTTTTAATATTAAATATGTGCGAGGATAGGGCAAAGTGTCACTATAGAATGATGAAAACGTGACCGGTCGGTCGTTGTTTCTTGGAAAATTATTCAAAAATGTTCTCTAGCATCATATTTTGAAATTGATGGATGTATTAAAAAGAAATATTCCATAGAAAAGATTTTTTAAGCAGGAAACGTATATTATTTTCATTCATTAAACACACACATATACGTTCGTACTGTCAATATTAAATAGTGTATTATTAAAGTTAAATTGACACAAATTGTCTTCCTTTCTTTCTACTTTTTGTTCATTTATTCTACCATGAAATGAACAAACCGGTAAATATTTGAAGTAAGATAGTAAACGCTGTAGATGTATTGAACATTTATATATTAGAGAAATATGAATAATATTTATCATTTATTTTCTCAATTGGATTCAATTTTCAGTTTTAGAAAGATTTAGCAGCAAAGTTGGTATCGCTCGCTCATTTTGATAACAAAAATGTAAGTACAAATTGTCCAACTTAATCTACTCTGCTATTTTAGTTAATTTTATGAGTGTTCATAATTTTATGATCGAAACATGTAGAATTTTAGTTCATACAAAACTACATACTTTGTTCTGAATAAAAATTCAAATTCTACTTTAAAATTCAAATTCAAAATCATCAACTTATATCAAACAATGCAGAATTTATTTCTGTGTTCTATTTGATCCTGCATCAATGCTTTTCTAGCATAAGGTATTCGATACACTACAAGTTTACTATTTCAGATCTCCACATAAATCTGATGCTCCACATAAATATGATGCAGTGCAAAGTTACCGTCAGTACGTGATCTTTTTACAACAGTATGTCTAGAAAAAAAAACTCAGGTATTAACGAGTACTCAAGTATTAATGAGTATTATTCATTTGTACATTCTTAGTATTTTAGTTCTCTGAAAGAATAGATAAATATTCTAATCACGTTTTTTTCCTACTTTTCTACTATTTTTGTTATTAAGAGTTTTTTTTATACTTTTCCTATATAAATAGTAAGTACATCATAATTAATCTTTGTATATTTGATATTTTTAGAATACGACAACAAAATTTTCGCTTTTATATAAAAAAAAATAAAATATTGTATCAAAAATGATTAAAATGAAATGATGTTGAACAATAGTAGTCATTTATGTGCGGAACATTCCTATTTTATTACCGATATTTTATTATGGAAAGTATTCAGTATTTTGTTGCCTGTTCTTGGTATACCTGGAAATGTATTAATTATCATTATCATGTTAAATAGAAGTAATCGTAAACATCCAATATCTCTCTATTTTACTGCTATAGCCATGTTTGAAATTATCTATTTAATTGGCTTATTATGGGATTGGTTGGATGTTATGTCAATAGTAGCAGATCCTCGAAAAACATTAAATTGTGCAGGATTTTACATGCTTGTTATAGGAACAGCTATGATCTCTGCTATTCTCTTAGCTAATGTGAGCATTGATCGAGTTATAATGATTTTATTACCATTTAAAACGAATGCATGGATAACACATCGGAAAGTGACTCTAACAATCGTAATAACAGGTCTATCGATCTTTTGTTTAATGATTCATTATCGTTTTTCATTATGTTATCATTTTGGATCGTCTGTACTCTATGGTCAAGCATGTATAATATGTCCAAATGCAAGAATTTGGTTTGAACACGTATGGCCAATACTTTATTTAACATTATTTCGAGTTTTACCAGCATTAATTGTTATTATTTGCGCAGTAATTATATTAGTTAATCGATGTTCATTATCTAAAATAACACGTACCACCGTTACAAACAAAACAAAAGTTCGCCTTGATCATCGTCGACAATTTGTTCGTATGCAAACATTATCCATCGTATTAGTTTTATTTAGTCTCTATTTTACTTTATCAATAATGCCCAATACCATTATGCAATTTTTTAATAAAAATTTTCGATATGAAACAGATTGTTTTAAACTAGGACAATGGAAACTGTTGAATACACTATTTATTATGTTTGAATCAACAAGTTATACAAATAAATTTTATATCAAATTAATTGTATCCAAACAATTTCGAAATGATATTAAAAGATTAATAACAATACCTGTGCATCAAACGAATATATTAGAGAAAAAAATGCATCGTTATCAAAAACCAATAGCCAAATAAAGTTAAATATATTCACATTGAATGAAACAAGACAATAAAAAATATCTTCATATCAAGTAAATTTTTTAACCGCGAGACACTAGATGTATCTTGTTAAATTTCGATATAAAACAACTTATTATTAGACACATATTCATAAAAACTGAACAATACTCTAAGCACAATAAGACATGTATTTATATATATGAAACTTTGATGACTATTTTACTTTTTTTTGTACATATTCGAAAAGTTGTTGACAAAAAATTCCGTAAAAATGTCGAAATCATCGACAACATAATCAAACAACTCTACAGAATAAGAATACTGTTAAAATTAAATAATTTAAAATAACGTGTAGACTAAAGGAAATGAGCCCCTTAATATTTTTCCTTTATCTCTTCGCAGTGGGCTGTTACATGGAAATTAGGTGAAAAACGAAAGTGAGTTTTTTCAAAAATTCAAATACTATCTAACATGCATTAACCAATCCCCGATTTGTTGGTGAAAAAATTTTAATCCAAGTGCTGAATACGGATGAGAAAAAGTAAGTCGGAATTTTCGGACAGTTTTGTCGTCAGACTTTTCAAACAGACGTTGTTTTGGCCAGCTAAAACAAATTCCGAGAAACTGAAACACATATATTCTGAAAGCTCAGCTTGCCAGCTATCGATTCAAATGTTAAACCTTTTATTTTAAAGAATTTTTAAGAAGAAAAATGGGGTTTTCCGTAGACTAGGTGTTTTGCGACTACACGTGCGTAGTATAGTGGGTGCGCCATCTAGCGCCAAGCTTCGTTCGAGCTGAAACTTTCAGGAAATATTCTTCTGTATGTGGTGCGTCTACATAATTAGCAGAAAGTTGCAGAAATGTTTCTTTGCGGAGTTACACATTTTACCAAAACCGCACGTTTTTAGAGGTTTTTCGCTGGATTTTTTGCTTAAAAGTCACTTTTCCCCAGAAGTAAGGACAGATTCGGAATCAGCGTGAAAAACTGCGTCAAATGATATATAATTCAAAACATTTTTCTACAGAAAAGTTTTCAATCACATTGAATAGTAGGAGCACTAGTGCAGAAAAATTTTCACTCTGCATGTGGACATATGCTGTAGAAGTGGTAGATAAGTCTACAAACACATATTTTATAGGTTTTCGAAATCCTAAAAAAAATTTTTGTGGGTTTTCTAAAGGCCTCTAAAAACTCAGAAAAAATTATTTTACATTTCGAAAATCTCACCATTGGAAAGAGCGGGTCTACGAAAGATGCGCACGACGAAAGTTGCGCACGGAAAGATGCGCATGGAAACTTGCACACCACGAAACTTGTGCACGGATAGATTGCGCACGTAATAAGAAATTCTTATTTTATATTTATATTTATTATAAAATCCTAAGACTTTTAATTGTCATTATCGTTTATATACATGTAATTCTACTAGTGTTTATAAGTGAAATGAAAATATTGTATTATACAATAATATTATATGCTATTGCGGTGATTTGGTCAATAATATTCTGATGGGGATTAGAAACAAGATTGAATAACCGTTTATCTAGATTGAAACTTCTTCGCCGGCATTGACTCGTGCTATTTTAGTATGAATATGAGAATCTTCTTCTAGATTCACACATATTGGTAAGTCTTCAAATATAAACCTAAAATCTGCTTTATTTTCACGAACACTTCTCTTTTTTACGAAGCGTTTTTCAATGTTCACATCCTACTCTGCGGAAGTTTATCGAAAAAATAATTTTAGAAGAAGATTCCCATATTCATACTAAAATAGCACGAGTCAATGCCGGCGAAGAAGTTTCAATCCATGCGATAGCCGTCGGTAAGCCTTCGGCTTTTGTCTATGCCTCTTCTCTTTACCAATCGAGAATAAATAAATAAATAAATAAATAAAATTCGACGACGACAACGTAGTGTTGAATGCATTAGAACAAGTTATTGACAGACTCCTAAAAGATGATTTCAGAAACTGCATCGATGACTGATTTACTCGAATACATTGATGCTGAGAGACAGTACCTTGAAAAACTACACTAGAGCCAGCCTTTGAATATTTGTCTAAAGGACTGGCGAAAAAACTTTTGGAGTGTCCCATGCATATCAAATTTTAACGGTTTGTAGTATTAAATTTCAGATGATGCAGCAAATCTTGATTCAGTTCGAAAAAAACTAATCTTATCTTACGTATGTAAACAGAAAATCTAAAGGATAGAAGAAATCCACACCGCATAAGTTATTTCTTCCTTTATTTGATCGTAATGGTGACGATACTGTTGTTCAAAATAATATTTTGGAAAGGATTAAATAATTTTTTATGTTTTCTTGTTTGACTGCAATCAACGCTACTAATAATAAAATGGCGAAAAGACAGTACAATAACGTAACAGAACTATTATGTTATAAGTTTTTCGTGCTAATATAGTGCAACATATTTCTCTAGCATAGTCTCGCACGAAGAACTTGACAAGTACAAATAGTCATTAGTAATATAAATGAACAGAGCTTTGGAAAAACTGCAGCGAGAAACAGAACAGACTATAACTTTGTCAAAAATCCACGCACTTTTTATGAATTGTTAACACTTTTGAACTCAGGGTGTAATACAGATAAGATTGAGTATATCTTGGTATTTTAAACCTGGTTCCTCCCAAGCAAATATCACCTATGCGAAAAATCTAGATACATTTCATCTGTAATCGGACGATACACGACAAGTTGCCATCTAGATTACTAGTTGGAAAAGGGACTTTTAACTAGATGCGTCTGCAGGTGCATCTAGTAATAACTAAATCGATCGATTATCGGGCGATAA